TTTTACTATATTTTATTTTATTTTTGTGTGTTTCTTTTTTTTTTAGTTAAATTTATGGGGGTGACAATGGTTTGTTAAGTTACATAGGTTTCAAATGTACAGTTCTATACTACATCACCTATATATCACATTGTGTGTTCACCACCCAGAGTCAGTTCTCCTTCCATCACCATATATTTGACCCCCTTTTCCCTTTTCTACCATGCCCCCTCCCTTGCCCTCTGGTAACCACTAAACTGTTATCTATGTCTGTGAGTTTTTGTTTGTTTGTCTTGTTCCTTTGTTGCTTTCAGTTTTATATCCCACATATCAGTGAAGTCATATGGTTCTCAACTTTTTCTATTTGACTTATTTCTTATAGCGTAATCTCAAGATCCATCCCTGTTGTCACAAATGGTAATATTTCATCTTTTCTTATGGCAGAGTAGTATTCCATTGTGTATATACATATTGCACATCTTTTTTATCCAGTCATTTATCAAAGGACACTTTGGTTGTCTTAATGTCTTGGTCAACATAAATAATGCTGCAGTGAACATTGGAGTACATACATCTTTACGGATAAATGTTTTCAGACTTTTTTGGGGGCGATACCTAGGAGAGGGATTGCTGGGTCATATGGTAATTCTATTCTTATATTTTGAAGAACCTCCACACTGCCTTCCATAGCAGCTGCACCAATCTGCATTCCCTCTAACAGTGTATGAGGGCTCCTTTTTCTCCACAGCCTCTCAAACACTTGTTATTATTTGTCTTGTTGATTATAGTCATTCTAACAGGTGTGAGGTGATATCTCATTGTGGTTTTGATTTGTATTTCCCTAATAGCTAGTGAAGTCGAGCATTTTTTCATACATCTGTTGCCTGTTTGTATGTCTTCTTGGGAGAAATTTCTGTTCATGTCCTCTGCCCATTCTTTACTTGGACTATTAGTCTTTTTATTGTTGAGTGTATGAGTTCCTTATATATTTTGGATATTAGCCCCTTATCGGAGGTGTTGTTTGCAAATATCTTCTCCCATTCAATTGATTGCATCTTTATTTTTTTGATGGTTTCTTTTGCTGTGCAGAAGCTTTTTAGTTTGATATGGTCTCATTCATTAATTTTAGCTTTTTCTTCCCTTGCCTTTGAGGTCAAATTCATAAAATCCTCTTTGAACCCAAGGTCCGTGAGTTTAGTACCTATGCTTTCTTTTATTCAGTTTATTGTTTCAGGTCTTATGTTTAGGTCGTTGATCCATTTGGAGTTAATTTTGGTATATGGTGACAGATAGCAGTCTAGTTTCATTCTTTTGCAAGTGGCTTTCCAATTCTCCCAGCACCATTTATTGAAGAGGCTTTCTTTTCTCCATTGTATGTTGTTGGCTCCTTTGTTGAAAATTATCTATCTATATTTATGTGGTTTATTTCTGGTTAGAGTTAGCCTTTTTTGCAGATGATTGTTAGTCCTTGGTTGTCTGCATATATTTGTAAGTGACAAACTAAACAGTTGATTGAAAGCTCTGTGTGATTATCAACTTTTTACTTTATTGTTTGGTGCTTTGCCTGTGCTGTTTGTTGGAACCTTCTGATTGACAATGTCTTTTAGTCTTTCTTTATGGACTGCCTTGTTAAATTCTCCAGAGAAGACTTATGAGCTCATTTATAAGCTCCCAAATTTACAAAGATAAATCTCAGATATACCTGGTATTATCATGTGCCAAGTAGTTTGGGTCTCAGGTTTTCTTTTTCCCCAGGACTGTCTTGAACTTTTATTAAGGGCTGCTAAGTTAGTCATCACTCATCTATTTTCAAAATTGTTTGGTGTTATTGCATGTTTTTTTAACCCTATTTGATTTAGTGTACTCTTACTGGAACTTTCAGAAGGGGTAAAATGAAATGCATGTCTTCAGTCTATCAGTTTATCTCATAAGTTGAAATAACCACTTCTGGCATTTCCCTCATTTAAAAACAAAGCAATTAAAATTTTAGGGGGAATTAATATAGTCATATAGTTTTAAACCT